ACCTGGGATCGTGGTAGGAGCTGAGTGCTCTTGATAATTCAGCCATTGCTGCACTAACCCAGCACCCAACACTCTAATGATGGGAAAGTTGAAATCTGGGTTTCAATCATTCAACTCCTATTTTTTTTGTACGTTAAATAGCCATGCTCTGAATAGGGCCAAATTCAGAGTGTGTCTTACAAATGCCTGGGTCCTTCTTAAGTTTGTTTCTCAAAGACCAACCTTTCCTTTTTGAGTAGCTCCTGGCTAATCAGGACCAGCTGGCCTGAAGCATCATGCGTTTTCCTGGACACGGTCTCCAGTTCAGCTTCCAAGCGCTTCTTTTCCTTCAACAGAGAATCTCCCTTCTTCTCTCCAGCTTTGCATTTATTTTCCAATGCTAAGGGAAGAATAAAAGGGGAGGAAAAAAGTCTACTAGTCCCTACCTACGTTCCTTTTTTTGGATGACTTCATTTCTCAATTTCACTTCCATTCCTTGCAACATGTGGCTTCCCCTAGTTAGTTATGCCTAGTTAGTTATCTGCAGCTGCCGCTGGAGTCCATGAGAGTTGCAAATGCTCAGCAGCACTCAGGATGCAGCCCTGTATAAGCAGAGATTCCAGAAATTATAAACCCAGCTGCATTTATTTCTACATCCCTTTTGGCTTCACAATTTGTTAAGATTATTGGGCCAGATTCTCTCCCTACAGGATACAAATAACTTCAGTGGGACGTACTTGCATCTTTCTGGGGTAGAATTGGGGCCACTGCATCAAGAACAAACATTTGCTAAGCACAATCCTCTTATACACGGACAACTGCATGTTTTATGCACACACGTTACTAGGTTGCTTTAATGTATAAACCCTTAGTTCTTCTTATAATGGCGGAGGTACAAAAAGACCACAATGAAACTATCTAGTTCCCACCAGCACTGGATTAGGGAAACTTACCACTTACTTGGGCCCTTAGAGTTTCAGTCTGGGAGGCGAGGGATGACACCTCTTTATCTCTTTTACTCAGCTTATCTTGCAGTTCTTTAGGTGGATGGAAAGGAGAGAGAAAGAGAGAGAAGTTACATCCTTGGCAACTGCTTTGCCTGATCACGCAGTAAAGGTCAACGGTGATATGGAGACATTTAGGATTCCATGGCCCAGACTAGAGACAGACGACTAGGTGCAAATACAAGCGTCCACCGTCTCGAGAGAGGCAGAGATGGGAGGCACCAGCTGGTTTGTGTCTCACAGCATCTCATCCCCATTTGACCTTAAGTGGAGTGGAGACACGCAGCTAGGAAGCAGTATCAGAGGATGGGCTTAAACAAGTGAAGAAAGAAGGAACAAAATATTATGAAAAAGCAAACAGAAAGGAGCCTTCCTCGCAATTCCATTTGTTACCTACTACCCTGGAAGGCAGGGATGATGGAAAAAGCAAAGACAGAAGTTGTGTAGAGTCCGCACGTTTACACAATCAAATCAAAGCCTTAGATTTGAAGTGCTGCAACATCCTGAGTCTGAGACAGCTTTTTAATCCGCCTTATCCATGTTTTGTCCAGTGCTTAGACTCAGAGAAGCCAAATATACATGGACTCAGTGACCATCTTAAGATCAGTTGGCTGTTGGACACAGTAAAGGGACCAAACCTAGTGCTTGAGTCCTATCCTAGTTATTTAACTATCAGTCAAGTATCTGATCTGGTATAAAATACACACCCACACGGCATTTGCAGGGCACAGAAAAGAAAGGGTGTGGGGAGGGGGGAAGAGAGAGAGGGCAGAATGATAGCTTGTGTGTGTGGGCAGGAGGGAACAGGGCATGAAAGTATTTTAGCCTGAATCCAAAGGTGCACGAAAGACGCTCCATGAACTAATTGGCATTTATACGAGGTGAAATTCAAACCCATGCAAGTTCAAACAGGGATGACATCCACACAGCAGAGATGGGCCAGAGCCACAAAGGACGGATCCAGGACAAAATTTTTCCAGACTCTGGAGTTGTTCAGATCCAGAGCTATGGTTTGGTCCATTACAGAGACGGAAACCACTGTGAAACTCAGGTCTGAATCAAACCTTATCCAAAGTTTAAGTGTGTCTAGATCTGTGGTTTCATTTCAGGCTATATCTGACTTATAGCAACTCCAAATTCTTCTAGCCAGTTGCAATATGCACCTTGTCATTCCTGTTAGCCACCCTCTGATGGGAGTGATTTTTACTCTATGGACCAGATTCAGCTGCTGTAAAATCAGTGCAACTCTACTGAAGTCAATGGATCAATGCCCATTTTCACCAGCCGAGGTTCGGGCCCATATTGTAGGTGTGGGGGGAAGATTTTGGAATACGAGTCCTCCACTGTATTTGCACAGGCAGGCATGCCAGCCACACAGGTGAAAAAGCCAGACAACCAGTGCAACCTACACAAAAGCACAGAGATGACATGAACTTCCCAAGCCCACTTCAGCTACTCTTCCTAGCTAGAGCAGAAGAGTGAAAGACGCAGCATGTCAATCACTCTCACAGTGAAATTCATTACCTTCCATCGCCTGCTTCATCTTTATCTTCTCTTCTGAAATATCGTTAGTTTCAATCATCTGAAATAAATGTAAAATATACACACATATATATATATATATACACACACACACACTCGATGACCTTTCAAGGTTCCTTCCAGTTCTAGGAGATGGGATATCTCCATTAATTATGTGTGTGTATACACACACACACACACACACACACACACACACACACACACACACACACACA